TGTTCTAAATCATTCACACTCTAGTCCCATTATATTTCTTTTTCACCTCGCACTCTTTGTTAAGTTGTTAGAGATTATAGATTTATTAATTCCAATAAAGTTCGATTGCGTATATTGTTGATAATATATTTTCCGTACGACAGAAGTGCTAAATAACTGTGTTTATGTCTCGCAATTTAACTGTTTCAAGGAGTAAAATAAACGACGATTTACCTGGAGTAAGTCTTTGCCTCTTGTAGTGAGCTTGGGTGTAACCTGCGCCAATCCTTGCGTGGGATGATACTGCGGGAATGGTTTGTAGTCGGGAAGCGTCGTTAAATCTGGCCACGTATCCTCAGTCGGTGTGCCCAGCATTTTGAATATTCTTTTCAATTGATCGTCTACATCTGATCCAGGGAAGAGCGGTCTGCCGGCGTTTGCTAATTCTATAACATATGGAGACGAGATATTTTTTTACGTCTTCCAACATGCTATAAAAAATTAAGAGTTCGTTTGGAAAAAAGGCTTAAATTTAACTAGATTCAAGTCTTTAAGGTAGTTATTTCGTAAAATCATTTGTGACAATTGTTTCAAATTTTTACAGTTTATTCTTTACATCAATACATGCAAAATAAGACTAATTAAATTAAAATTGACCGTCTCAAAGTTTAAAAAAAATGTTAGTTTGCTATGTTACACGAAATATTATGTGTAAAACATGTTAAAAATATTTTTACACGTAACAATATAATTCGTTGTAATATTATTACATGTGAAATATTATTTACACATATTATGCGTTAAAATATTAATATTTGCGTTTGCAAAGGCAAATGGTACATTTTTAGACACGAGTGTAGTGTAAGAGATGTGGCAACAGCGCCTCAAACTACACTACTCAAAAAAAAAATAGGGAACACTTTTTATACCCTAAAAATTGGGCTATTTTCAAACCACTAAAACTCGGCGAAAAATCATCGTAGACTCAAAATTAAAAAAGCGTTTTAAAGCTTGAAGTTTCAACTTTAAAACCCTGTCAACGATTTATTTAAATATGTTCATCTTCCTCGTTCTATGCTTTAAAAAAGAATACCTTGTTTTGTTCCTTAAAATTACATATATTGGACACATTGCAGCTCGATAAAAAAATTCTCTCGACAAATTCGATACAAATTCCACAATGTACAACATTTTACCTACAAAATGTTTTTTTTAATTTTCCTACGATTTGTTTTGACAGAGTTACATGACTTTGAAGCAAACCATGTATTTTCTTGAAAAATGATGTTTACCGCCGGCATTAGCGTTACCCAATGTGCACTACGTGGAGGTTGCCGGTCGGATTTTGCACTTAAATCCTTTAGGGGGAAAATTACGGAACAATTACCGGCGAATATGCATCCCGCGCTCCACATGTCAATGGACGTTGTATATAATTTTGCTCCGAAAAGAACATCCGGGGGACGGTACCACAACGTGACAACCTCTGCCGAGTAACATTTTACAGGGATACCAAATGCCCTTGCTAGTCCAAAATCAGCGAGCTTCAGCTCCCCGTTCTGCAAATAATTCTCTATTCAATACACGAACGTACAATTAATACAGTTGCAAAATTAGAAACTTTCTCTGGACAGGAACACTTGTATAAACGTAGTAGTACATTTGATATAGCAATATAATAAATATCTTTCATACAAAAAAGATATCTCTGTGAAGGCGCGCATTAAACATAAATGTAAAAACCTGTGGTAACTGCGTCTTTACCTTATTGATGAGTAAGTTCTGTGGCTTGAGGTCTCTGTGGAGAACATTTCGGCTATGGCAGAACGCTAATCCTCTCAACAATTGATATCTGAAAGGGAGCGCAAATTTGTCGCATCAGTCTCACCCACGGGGGATGAATTCGGATATCTCGAGAGCGAGCAATCTTACAGGAATGATTTGACAACGTCCAGGTCAATCTCCCCGTTCAGACTGTCGAAGTATTTCTTGAGGTCCTGATCGCAGTGCTCGAACACCAAGGTGAGCTTCTTGTCGCTGTGCAGCACGTCATAGAGACGAACTATATTCTTATGCTTGAGTTCCTTCAGAAGACAGATCTCCCGTAGTGCTGACGACGGTACACCCTTGGGTAACGTAAAGAGCACACGAGCGATAAGACGCTGATATCAAGGAGACCGTCGCCGGCCTTCGTCGTGGGAATTATTTTCGACGCGACACGAGGCGAGCGTCGTGTTATAAATAAAGCGCGCGAGCGATCGATTAATTAGATTAATCGGAACGCCGGTGTCGCGGCAAAACAGCAGGTGGGGACTGCGGACGAGGGAGGGCTCGCGCGAGGGGGAAAAAAAAGGAGAGAAAACAGAAACGAGAGAAAGAGAGAGACAGATCGGGCAAGCACTACCTACTTCATCGTCATCGTCTAGTCGCACCCGCTTCAGCGCGACGATTTCGTGTGTCTCGCGATTCTTGGCTTTGAACACGGTGCCATAAGTGCCTGGAAAAGAAGAAAAGCCGAGTCGGGGAGGATTAGTAGCGTACGGGTCTTATTGTTGTGTTGACAGACAGAGAGAGAGAGAGAGAGAGAGGTGGGGAGGGAGGAGAGAGGGCGAGTCGCGGCGCGTCGCCGGACGACGCGGGCGACGGCATCGCCTCGCCGGACGACGTCCATCCCCCCGCGACCCTAACCGCCAAGAGCTCACCTTCTCCTATTTTCTCGAGCTTCTCATACTTTTGCATATTTTTGCTGATACCACGGGCGGAACGCGCACGCACGCACGCACTGTCGCGCACAGTGTCTCACCGCTGCGCGCTCGCGGCACGACGGACACTCGAATGCAACTATTGCACTCTACGCTGGGCGCAGCGCCGCCAACGTTCCTCTCCAGGTTACCGAGGCGCTACCACGAAATTAAAGTCACCAGACGCTAGTAAAATTTGATTGCTGTATATTCTGGAAAATTATTTCTACCATTTGACGAATTTGTTTTTTAAATATTAAATTCTTGTAATGTAAGGGGTCCATATCATGTTCTTATAATGTAAGAATTCATTTCATAATTCGGGATTTTTTAAGGGGTTATTAAAGTATTCCTCTTCTTTCCCTAATAACACACAGAAATATATTTTAAAAGATTTAATATATTTTAAAATATTTATAAAGTATTTTAAAAAGATTTTAAAATATATTAACCTTCTAAAATATTTCTGTGCTATTAGGGTTTTTTCTTTCAGTAAAGATAGAAAGAGAAGAGAAACGCTTCGAAGCGTTCGCAACGGCAGCTTGCAGATAGCAACCCTAGTATATTGGCACAATATATTGGGAAATAATGTAAATCTAGTATTCCCAATATTGGTCCAATATTGTAAGATAGACGCCTTCTCTTTTATTTAGCCGATATATGTCTATTTAGCAATATTGATCTAATATTACATCAATACTAGACCAATATTGTTATTACATTGTTAAATATTGGACAATGCACTTCCAATATAAATCTAATATCATATAATATTATTATCCTGCAATATTTACATTTATTTTATGGCCAATATTGGCTTTACGTTGGACAATATCGACCAATACACTGTGCTACTACCCAGTGAGAAATATGATTCGTCGAAACGATATCGATTCGAATACTGCAGCAATCTAATTTTACTAGCGTCTGTTATGCTAATATAATAATTAATACTTTATAAATTGAAGTAAAATTAAATTTAGCAAAAATTATTACTAAAAGAAAAGTAAGAAAACTCTAAAAACTTAAAAACGTTTCAATCCAATTCTTAATTGTGTTACTTTGTAACAGCTGTGTACTTACCTTATTATTAAAATAATAATCCTTTTTTATTTGTTCGAAAATTTTGTTACCGGCATACATGATTGATTATCCGATGCTCTTCCAACAACTCGCTTTTGATTATCTTCGTCAAACTTCAGATGAATCTCAAAATTTTTTTTACTATTAGGTTATTATATGAAAAGAGAAAATTTTTTAATCCATTATTTCTTTAAGACGATTATAATATCTAAGTTGAGTGTTTGCTCGAAATCGTTTGTTCAGGATGTACACGAAGATAGTCATATATCTAGTATATCGCTTCTTTACTAGTATAATCTTCGCCACGATCAATGCAACTATTGTGTTGTATACGTGTCAACGTGTAAGTAATAATTATTTTGATCTATTTTTACATTAAAATTCCAGTATGAAAATGTTAAACATTTTATATCCGTATATGAGAATATTACAAATTATTCTCGTCTTTCTAAGAACACTAGCCATCATAAGCTAATATCAAAGACAAATAACGTATATATTTCATATTACAGTTTAATTATCTTTTACTTAAGAAATATTCGGTTACAACATGTACGTAATGTCATAACATTTCAGTTCTTCCGAGTGATGAGAGCTCATTATCAAATCATGGCCGAAGCTGAGAGGTTTAATTCAATTGTAATTGTAGACTTTATGAGAAACCAGACAATACATTAAGTTTTCTTTAATTTACGAACCGCATACAATTATTTAAAATCTTCATTTTGTTTGAAAGCTCACTAATATAATTCAAGTAATATGTATATTGTTACTCAATAGATTTCCGAGTCACGGGCAAGCCTCAATTATATCGGTTTGAATGTATCCAAAGGAATGGATCAAGTACTTTAATGAAATTATTTTTACAATTACAGAATTATACAACATATTAATTTTAAGTAATTTTTAATACCTTTCACCTGCACAGATGAAGGAGGACATTGCCAGAGAATTGTTCATTACCGATAACTTAACGAGGCTTAGTTCGAAAGTAGGTCTGTTGGTGCAACGTTATTCTGAATTGGAGGAAGGATTGATCGAGGTACAATTATATAAACGATAAAGAAATTAACGAGCGTTTATTTTTAATTTAAGAAGTAAAGAAAACTTTAATATAGTTTAGTATACGCGGGATAATTTAGCATCTCGCAAGAAAATAATGCAAAGCGGGACAAAGTGATGTACTTAAATTGCTGTTCTAAAATTATCAAGTGGAATATATCATTCATTGTATTGTTAGATGTATTCCAATATTTCTTTAAAAAGAATAAAAAAGAATTTTGTTACGAGTATCAGCTCATAAGCAAATTCAAGTATGTGTCTTAATTAATATCTTGCTTCTTCAAGAAGATCTCGATATAAAAGTGTCAGTGCATTTAATGGCGCTATCATTCACATATTATATTTGAATTAAACTATTAATAGCAAAATTCTTTTTGTAATCGAAAGCCTTGTTTTCTTACCAGCTTGTAAGAATGAACCATAATACAAAGAGCGTGCTGATTGAGACACCAGCTAATATCAACGAGGAAGTCAAATGCATCCTCGCGGCAGCAAGGAAAAGGCAACCACAGTCGCAGCAGCAGTCAGACCGTCCGCAAACGCCGAGGAAGTTGCGAATATCGACAAACGCTGTCACAGGAGTGAAAGATTCTCAACCGTATAATTCCATCGTAAATTCGCGATTCCTTACATCACAGTCGTATGATACCGATCTGTCAAATGTAACGACGCTTGAGAGACAAGAGAGACCACGTACACCGGCATATCCAGAAGTCCAGCTCTTGAACGATCCGAAACCGGCAACTGATACAAAACCTATTGGCTTTCGACCATCCTGGAAGTGCGAAGCTTAAGATGGCTATCGGACAAATTTGTTTTTTTCATCTCTTTCGGTCTCTTTTTTTTATGATTGTCTCTGCTTGTAAAAATGTAGGAAAAATTGTGACTGCGAAATAAGACAAACGTTTTCCGTATCATTATACAACAAAGATATTATAAGCAAAAAATATTGCAATAAAAAATATTTCCTTTAAGTATTTCCAAATCTGTACTCACTCTAGGAGTATGAAGTGAAAGGATAATAATTGAAGACAATATAAAAGGGCTACAAATGTAATATCCTTAGAAAATAATTGTTCACTAAAACAGGTTAAGTAATACTCAAAAATACAGGTATATTATTCATAAAGATAAATTATATTAAAGGAAAGATTTCATCTTTACAAATATTTTCACTTAAAGAAATTATATTATTTAACATTTTCATACTTATGCGACATTTGTAACCTTTTTATGTTATCCCTCCGATTAGCCAGCAATTTATTATTGTTCTTTTTATTTAGATAGTACACTTTTACAGAATAATAGCACACGAGTAGAGAGCACAAACCACTTGTTACATTTTATTCGATCTTCGATCGGATAAATTTCGTTAAAACGACAAAAATTTTTAATCAACTCTAAATTACAAAGAGAAAAAAATTTTCTTTGTCATGCTTTGGATGTTGGATGAAGATGTTGGAATATTTTTTGTTATTTTTCAATAAAAGCTCTTTCAAGTGGGTTAAAGAAGATCGACACACCATAATGTTTGTATCTGCCACTTTCTTTCTAAGATTTAATCGCATTGAGTATTTCATTTTGTATTTACTATATAATTCTGAGATTCGCACACTGAGCTGAGTTAATATATACAATTAATTACACATTAACAGTATATACACGCCGTTCATATTTAGATGTAAGTTAGTCATTTTTATGATACAGCGTGTTTCAAAAAGTTGTTGAAGATATAGCGAGAGCAAGAGCTTTTTGAAATAAATGTTAATTTGCTTTTATGCAGAAAATCTTTCGTTTAATTAAATAAAATAATTTCCTTGTATTCTTTAATTTTACTTCATTTCTAGAGGATGAATTGACGAATATTTTATCAGCTACAGATTCTATTTTTATTGTACAAAACTTTTAAATAGGCCTTCATTGGTTGCAAACGTTTAACTTTTGCTATTAAACACTTTGAAATTATGTTACAGCTAAAAATAATTTCTGTAAAAAATCTACTTTAAATTTAATTTAGACACGCAATAGTTTACCTATTTTCATCTCTAGAATTTAATTCGTCAACGTTTTATAAGTTTTCAATACTTTGCATAATTAGCAATATCTCGCAAGTAAGAAGATTATATATTTTCTTAGTTCATCCTCTAGAATTCGGGGTTGAAAGTACATCTAGTGGTTTTCTGCACATTGAGAGAAGAAAAGATTATATCAAGCAATGTTGTCGGTGAAAATGCCCTGCGATTTTGCTTGAAAAGTAATCTTATGATTGCATTTCGCCATATAATAAATTTCAATGTAATAATTCCGGTTTTAAATTTGTAGCCATTAGAGGACAGCACGGCAAAGGGATGATTTCAATTTGTGTCGAGTATTTTCCGAAATTTCACCTAGATTAAACGAGTATTTTTTTTAACAGAGAGAACGTATAGAATTCTCGTTCCACGATGTCTCTAGCCGCGCTTCTCTTTGCCCTTCGCCCTTTCTCTGCCCTCATCTCGCTATCCTCTCCTCCCGTCCTGCGCCAATTAACGTCGCTGCCTGTCTGCCAGATAATTATTGAGCCTCTTGACGAATCCGCTCCAACTAGCTTGATCGATCTCATCGAAGTTCCGTTTGAAGAAGCTGTCAAACGCGGTATCGATCTCGTCGATATTCCTCTTTGAGAAACGATCGAATGCCGATCGGTCGATCTCGTCGAAATAGCCAGGCCGCACGTTCATCACGTTGAACCGCCTGCAATAATGGATACACTGTAACGTAACAACTGATTCTGAAAGAGCACCTCTTCGGTCTAGAATATTTTATTTCAAAATGGAATGTTATATAAAATAATAAACGACATTTGTTTTAGAAACGATAATATTTCAGGGCGATATAGACCAATCGAAAGAAAAATATAAAATTGAAGTGGTATTTGATGTTCTTTACTTTTAAATTTACTTTTTAAATTAGAAAAATATTAGTTAAACTTTTTTTAACTATGACATTTTTAAAGAGTACTAATAGAATCGTTTGTAAAGGTATGCATGTGAATATGTTGTATTATGTATAAATAATACTACAATGAATACAATATAAGCAGTTCTGGACAAAAATTGTCAGAAAGAAGAAGTTATCGGTGAAATTAGTCAGACGCGAAGGAAGTATAGGCGTGCTTATAGTCAGACTTATAGCTCGAAACGAGATTCGATCGCAGCAGGTATTCTTTTCTTCTTTTTTTTTCAATGAGTTCGAACGAACGTAATTCAATATCCGCGGCGATATTAACATCCGCCATTCATAAAAATGGTGGCGTTGAAGCGAAAAGACAATAGATGCACAGAACATTCATTTTATCAGATCGTTTGAAATAACAGTGTTTAAAATATCGGCGGCACTTTAATCTGTCCAGTTCCCTTTCGTATTCTTTTAACATTTTCTATTTCATAACATTTATTGCTCTTCCTAAAATACCTTAGTAGCATAGTGCATTGGCTAAACATTGGCCCAATGTCGGTTATATTATTATGCAATAGAAATGCATTGGCCGATACTGTTGTAAAGCCAATATTGGCCATGGAATAAATATAAATATTGCACAATAATAATTATATAATATTAGATTTATATTGGAAGTGCAATGGCCAATATTTAAAATTGTAATAAGAATATTGACCTAAAA